CATCACCACACAGGCGTGCAGCCATCACCTTCTCCAGCTCAGTATGTTTCGCCACAGTACCGAGGGAGAGAATGTTAAATTTACGCCGATTCACGGCGGGAGTGCAATACATCGATTTACGAAAATATATGTACAGTTTGGTCCGAACCAATTTGTGATCAGTGCCACACTCAGCTCCACGCAGTACACGTGTCATGCGCACTTCACGCATATCACGCTGACGTACGATGACATAGTCGAGCAGGTGAGCGTGACCACTCCGTGGATGCGTCCAAGTTGCCATGTCACTCGCACTCAGTGCAAACCGAGTGTTCGTGATCGTCAGGCCGTGAGTGGCACACAGTGAGAGCAGCCTGTCACCGTTCGCATTCGCTGAACCAATGCCATGCGCACCGATAACATCTGTCCACGCTGATGCATCACGCCCAACGCGCGCGTTGAAATCACCCAGCAGAAATAGTCGGTCGCTCCTCGGCACAGACCGTATCACGGAGGATAGCTCAGTGTAGAACTGATCACGCGTGTCATCAGGATAACACATGGTCGGACCGTACGTGCTTATAAAAGTAGCAAACTTACCTCTTCCGAGTCGTAGGCGAACAGTCATCAGTCGCGCGCTGATGCCCGTTGGTTCACCCACCAGCTGGCCATTCAGGCGATCGGATATTGCAAATCCGACCCCATGTTCACGTGGTGCTGAGGCGCCGTTGCCCACTCAGTAGAATGTGTAGCCAGCACCTGCTTCATGTAACTTACCTTGCTCAGCGAGCCGAGTTTCACTGAGCGCCGCAATATCGATGTGGTAGCGCGCCAGATCCATTGCGACCAGTGCAGTGCGTCGCTCCGGGCGCTCGTTGCAGTTCCGGTCCAGTAGTGTGCGCACGTTCCAGCACCCGATGCGGAGTGCTTTGCGCGCAGGCATACGATTGCATTGGTGGGCAATCGCACGCGAGGTGGTCGTTGTGCTTCGGAGGTTTGCTTGAGGACCTCCACCCGGAGCCTTTGGCTCAATAGCCTGACCAACAAGGCAGTGGGTGGTTTGGAGGTTTGCTTGAGGGACTCCGCCCGGAGCATTTGGCTCAATAGCCTGACCCACAAGGCAGTGGAGAGCAGATCCAGCTCGGAAATGTGATTGCAGAGACAGATTGGGATCTGCTTGACGGCCGTCACACGCAGCCTTTGAGGTTCTGGAACAGTTATCATATGTTTTGCGACCATAGTAGGATACGCACCTGCGACCACGGCCAGACGCAGGTGGGTTTTTGGCGGGTTTGCACCAATTTGACCAGGGGCTGCCTGGCTTGAGGCGGGCAGTAGCAAACCATTGAACACCCGGAGGTGTCCTCCCACCGTCAGAGACAATGCGTGGCACTCGTGCTCTACGCCAATCGAGCATTGAGAATATAACCCGTAAACCTGTTGTCTCCCATGGCTAGGTTTTACGGGAAGTGGGCCATCGACCACTTCCTAACTTCCGGAGAGGATGGACTAGGATACTGCCAGGGCGCCCAATCTTGACAGGAGAAAGACTCGGGTCCTCAGCCAAAGCCTTCGATTAAATGAACACCCGAAAGGCAGCGGGTCTAGCACATGGTCAGTTAGCTGACTCATGCGGATTGGTGTCCTGGATCTTAGCAGGGAGAAGGGCGAAGCCTAACTCCCACCCAGCGGTCGCCACGTGGAGGCGCCCAGGACATGAGACTATGGCGCAACAGTAGCAGCAGTGGGTAGACCATCTGTCAGGATCTAGCCACCACCAGCCTCAGCGCACCATAGGCTCTGCCGCCTTGCATCTATACGCGTATGTAAATGCTCATAGATTTTCACGTTAGCGTTTCTTCAAGTTAACGTACATTTATTTATAGCTTTATTTCAGCTGGTTCAAGGTCAAGTAGGACTGGAACGAAGCAGGTTCCTGCGCTCGATGACTCGACGTGAGAACCATGTCTCCGCTCTAACTCGATCAGACCGCGGTTTGTCCAGCTTCATACAATGTCCGCGGAGACCAGATAATCTTGCAGGACTAAACAGCCAGGACAAATCAGGGCCAACCTTCCCAGTCAAAATACGGTAGGTTAGGATTAGGTCCCCTCTAATCCTTCCATAATGCATTGACTGCATCCCCAAACTAAGTAGGCGTTCGGGGTACGTTTGCCCTCGTAGTCCCTTGACCAACCTAATACCGAAACGCAACACCCTTTCTAGTGCCATTTTGTCCCGGACAAGGCATGGTGGTGAAGTAGTGAATATAGTAGACAGCGCTCGCGGGAAAGTGATCTAATTCCTGGAGGATTAGTTGGCTTTTTGGAGTCCGAGTTTGCCTTAATCATGTTCTCCTACTGATTCATCTAGTCCAAGACTATTATACTGTTTGACCATGAGGTGTAAAAGCGCTAACTGCTTTATGCTTGTAAACAACTATGTCTAACGTGGCTGTTACTTTGTAATGGAGGATGCAAGGCTCCGTTTCACTCTGGATGTGGAATACCCAGATACGGGAGGGTACACTGATGAAACGGGAGCATCATCTTCAGAATTCGACACGGATTCTGAAGAAGCAGTATGTAGATTAAAGGGCGTTGATTCATCAGATGTTTGTCGTCAACTAATGCTAGACACGGGTTACAGTGAAAGCCGATGCTTTTGGAAGCAGTGCGCTGAATGGATTGGTAAAGATCATGCTCAATGTTGCAGTACACTATGTGAATCCAGCTCTCGCAAAGAACACACTGGACGGCTATTGGGCGGATGACAACACAATCCACGCACTTAGATGTGATGGTAACAGTGAGAAAAATATTGACAACATCCTAATTCTGTTTCGTGTTTACTCAAATACTGTTTTCACGACATTTTAGCCAAAAAAAACTCAAAATATAGCACTCCAAAAATCCAGTTATCACGCCAAAATCAAGGTTGTCACCTGAACAAGGAAGCGGCCCTTTTCCACTGCAGCTTTTCGAGCTGAATGGGGAGTTAGGTATGGTTAGCTACAAGATGCCAGACAAACAGAAATAAAAAATGCGACAGCTTGGTGACACACCTACATAGTTGATACCACCACGACGTGCGGAGCGGTGGTAACCGGCGTGATTTCGCACGAAAAGATGGAGCGGCTATCCAACGCCGATTACATGGCAATCAAGTGTCACACCAACCGACTTTTGGTGGTGCACGGAAGCGTGGGAAATGGGGGAACAACCTAAGCTAACCGGGACCTCGATGGAAAGTGGGCCACATCATTAGATGGACAAGCACGGCGTAAAGGTAAGGGGCTGGAACACACGGGTGCCGGATAAGGAATAATCACATGCGAAATTGGCTGATCCCGAGCGTGATATCTACTACGAAACACCCGACTTCACGTCTTATATCCTATGTCATATTGCGATCGTGTCACAAACGTGTTGTGAAGGTTGCATAGTTCCGCAAAACTTGCGCAGAGTTGGCGTGAGTTCATCTCAATGATACTGTCATCATGGGGCGGCTCAAACTGTGCAAGGAACCGCTAAGCTCACCCCATAGAAATCGTAGTTATGCAAAAGCGCAAACTTCACTTATGTTTTCTCCAGTGACGCTGCAGTATGTATACGTATGCAAAGCAAAATGTGCGGATAGAGATTACAAGTGGTTACTCATAGTTAGTTAATTGGTGCTAACCGTGCTGTCTGTTGATTCAAAACAATCGACCGCTTGTGACCTCGCGGGGTAGAGGTCACCAGTTGTTTGGGCCACGGTAGTCCCAAGCATTTAGCCAGCTTCTTCTGAACATATAATTCCGGTATGTACAGCAGGGTTGCAATTGATTCAGCGGCTTCTAGTAGTCGCTTGCGGACGTACCTCGAGCGGTTCTTTGGGGCCTGATAGATAATTTTGTAAGAATCGGTGAAATTTGTGGTGTGCGCTGTATCAGGTATATGCGCGGCTATTGAAGAATTAGCTGCTTTTATGCTTCTAGTTCTAAGCCCGATCGGATGGTGTTCTTTCATTTCCTCAGCTAGACGCCTAGTCGTACAACCAACATATTCCGTTACACAGGAGCATGAATACACACTGAGTTAGTGTAGACAGGCCTCTTATGCTTTGAGTTTAGCCTCATCATCGGAATGCTAGTGAACTGAATTTGCATCTCCGCTGCCGGTTGGGTGCTCCTGAGTGAAAACGAAGGACGACTACATAGAGGTCCCCTCACAACCTCGCCCTTGTATGGTAGCTGTAGAAAGAATGGCATACATTATAGTCAAAAATACAAATTGTTTCCTCGTATGTTCCATATTGGCTTTGATGAATCTCTCCAGATGGCTAATCTCGCTTAGCACTAAGCAAATGCACTCCAATTCCTTTGGAAGCGTGTCGTTCGAGCAGTTAGGTTCAGCTCGACTCATTAGAGTAGTTAACAAGTTCCGTTTAAACCTAGGTGGCACAAAGCTGTAGAAGCCTGTGTCCTGTCCATTCCACGTACTTTTCCTATGAAAGCAGCGCTGTAACGCACCCCCATGCAGTCTTTTCACGGCGACATCGAGGAAAGGAAAGTGACTGTTTTCCTCAACTTCGCAGGTGAACCTTATTGTTGGATGGACTTGATTGAACGTGTGTGTTAATTCCTCGATACTCCGAGACGATTGAAGCAAGACAAAAATGTCCTTTACATAACAATAATATAAGCAGAGAGTTGAGATTGTCGGCTTTAGCTTTCCCTGTCCCAGCATGACTATGAAGACGTCGGAGAGGAACGGACCCAGTGGGGAAACCATCGCTACCCTATCGCACTGCCGGTATAATTCGCCATTGAATAGTAACTGAACATTGAACGTGCATCTGAGCAATAGTTTCTTTAGTATCACCGTGGGTATGCCAACCTTAATGTGGTTTGCGTCAACATACGCACAGATGTAGTTTGGAATAAACATGTGCCCATGAAGTTCAAACGAAAGCATATTCCACGGTAGTATCAACCAAACAACGTACGTGAACCTCTAATCTCCAGTGTAGAAGACGGCTCCATCAAAGAAATCTATCGAAAACATTCGATAAAAAAAATTGCACAAGTGCTAAAGCATCTCTAACATGCTCAAACCATAATAAGGTAGTTAAAAGAGTGGCAGATAATCGGGAGAGATGAAGTCACACGGGACGGTCGTAAGGAATCCGAGTACCCGAAGGAACGCGTGGCGCAAAATCCTGGGATCAGCTGAAGAAGTAAGTTGAATTGCGGACCTCGTTCAAATCGAAGGTGCCTGGTGAAAAGTAACAAGAAAATGGCGTTTAAGATTTAGTGCTTTCAACGGTGAACAGAATATCACTATTGGGAGTGGGCTGAATATGACGTATCCCTAAGGCGGCCAGATATTTCGCGAGCCAAAGCGGGACACTTAACCTACCTCCTCATTGTCTCAGCATATGCAGACCCCACAAAAACCTGAAAAGCTAAATGTCTACATGTATTGTTTCACTGGGGACACCTTTACTTCCTTGTGGTTTAAGGCGTTTGTGTGGAATGACACGAATTTTGCCTTCTCCAACATTTCTTGTAGCTAGTCCCTGGCAAATTTGACCAGGATATCAGTTATTATTGCCTCACATTTCGAGAGGGCATAAGCAAACGTTGGTTCAAACAATTTTATCTATCAACTTGCTGGTCTAATTCATTAAGCGGAAACTGTGGTTATGGATCACAGTGTGTTATGCGAAGGTATTTTTTGCAGTGCCAACTTGGCTCCTGTGTTCCCATACGCTACTGATCAGAGCTAATAAGTTAAGGGGGTAGAAGATGCTGCCGCAGACACTGCTACCTTATGGTGATTCGATTTTACTTCCTTGGTGACATCTGAGCTGCCACGGTGAGCAATAGGAAATACGGATTTGTATGTGTCACATCGAACACGTGAATCTTTGAATGGAAAATCGCTCTCCAACTGAGTAGTCATCTTAAACGGTTGTTTAGACATACTTTTCCCACCAAATTGTACGAAATGAGCACACTCACCACTAGACATAAAATTTTCATCCTTGCTTTTCTCCTCTTTTTTATATTGTCGCAAAACATCCAATTGCAGCGTCGCCCACTCACGCAGTCGATTATCTCGCCCAATGACTGGTGTTGTACTTTTTTCAACTACATTCTACATTCTCAAAGCTGGACATTTAGAAGTCGCCGAACTCCACGCGGAACATCAGTAGGTTCCGCCCAGCACTGTTAAAAAACCGGGGTCGACAGCTTGAAATACGAGACTGTCCTGCTCAATTCAGGACGAATGCCCGAATTTTATTTGAGTGTGCTAAACCAAGAAAAAGCGACAAAAAGATGGTGGGACGTCGCGAAATCAAGAGTGACCCGACGCAGCCGGATCCCTGAGCTATCCATAAACCGATCTGAGATGGATACCGGTATGAATAATCCACACAGTGATCACCGAACCGAGACGGTGTAGAATGCTTCAGAGTGGCTAGGTGCGTAATAGTAGGGAGGAAAGATGACGTTGCATACGACCTGGGAGAACCGAAATTCGACCCGACTAATTGTGGGAACAACAGGTATGATGCCAACCGACCGGATCAACTGGGCGGCATGAACGACTGAAAGAATTGTGAAAGTTAAGCTATAGTGTCCTCAGATTAACGAAGGAACAATTTGCTCACCAGCTTTCGGAACGCGATCCAGGAGTGCGTTGAAGGATAGTGCCTTGGATCTTTTGAGTTCACAGCTCATTTGGGATATTTCACTGGGGTAAAAGTAATAACAAGATAAAATGTATCAGCAGTATACCGAGGCTTCTCTGCCGCGCAATTATCAACAGTCGCACATGGGCTACGGATAGTGCAAACGTCGCCCCTACGCAGGTTCAAACCCGTACCCTCGGATTACAAGACATGATTGTGAACTTTTAAGCCAAGGGCCGAATAATCGACAGTCTACAGTAGAAAGAAGCCTAAAAATTCACAGTGGAAAAATGGATGGGTGGTGAACTTACTCGGGGGTGTAAGCAAACTTTTGCCGCAAATACTCTGCGAAGTTGTGCAAAATTGGTTCGCTGTGAAGGGCGATGAATTCTTCGCGACATATCTGAAACAGACATAAATGTTCCGTGAGAGTTGACATGCGCAAGACAACAGTGCGCGTTTTGATGCGCCGCTTGAAGCTCACTTCATCAAGAACATTCTAGATCGCACAGAAATTGCATGACATCGAGGGAAGTATGGGGGTGGGATACAATCTCAAGCAGTGTTAACTGACAATGGCTACTTTAATATGATAAAAACCTAAAGCATTCTGTATTATCCTCATCGACAATTTATACAGACGCAACTAAAAAGAGATCCCAACGAGGAGGAATAATATGGAGAGAAGGGGGATTTAGTGTAAAGACTACACATAGCAAACATTCTTGGTTTAGACGTCGACATTACGCCAGTGATACGGTCACAAACAGTTCGGTTTCGCGCGAAGATGGCATTTCGGTAAGACAGGGTCCATCAGAGTTTCACTGATCCGCGTCATAAGCTGTTTTACTTCGCAGATATTTCAGCCTCAAGCTAATATTAAACAGACGGTCCGGATAAGAGACGACAGTAATTCAGTTGCTGATATCGGCTGCGAATTGTCGTTTAACGCTTGGAGTCAAACACATGGTGAGTGGCGCGGGTTCCAAACTAAAGCGTCAGTCCTCACTTCAGTGGCTAGCAATATCAATCCCCGATGTCAAACAGTGACTGACTATATCGAACTTAATGCCACGCACCGTCCAGTATACAAAACAATCTCCTCGGTAAGCATACAGCGAACACAAGTAAACCGTACGCAAGAAATCTATTAAGTCTTAAGCTGAATTCAGCACATCCAATCAGGCAGAAAAACAGCACACGTCAGGAAAGGAACTGGGTAGCCGTTTCAAGAATCATCAGCGGTGCTTATTTTACCGGACCCCGATACCACGTCTAGTAACGTCGCCATGTAAGACGTTATAGCCTCTCCCCGTGACCCAGTAGTCCTAACCATGGATTGGTCAGAGCACGGCCGCGGGTTCTACCCCTACACTGAAACATGGATCGAATGTGTACGGCTGAGCAGATGGGGTCAATACGCTGCTAGTTGACTAACAGCTGAATAAGCATGAGGAAACGCAATGAAATGTTGCACTTTGTCGATGCAAATGGAAGTCAACATCACTAACAATACACGTTAATAATAATAACAATAATAGTAATAATAACAATAATAATAATAATATGTCAGCTGTACGCCGTAACGGCGCTTCGCTGCCGCGCGACCACCAGCAGTCGCGCGCGGGCTGTGTATACCGCGAAGCCGCCCACCCCTACGCGGATTCGAACCGGGACCTTATGGTTACAAACTAGGTGCGTAGACCACTCGGCCACGGGCCAACTCAATACACGTTAGATGGAAGGAATAAACACATTTCAGCTAATTGTACGTGATAGAAAAAGATACTAGATACATGGATATAGATGAAACCCACACCAATGAGAAAAAACGGATAAGATGAGATAATCATGCGTACAACGGACACTGTTGTGAACACTAATTACTAAAAATAGAGACCTAGAAGATATACGTCTGTGTTGTCCCATTGATACATTACCGAGCCCTTACGCGTAAAAAAGGTTGCTTGTCGTCCCGCATTGTCAGTGCAGTTCAGCTGTGCGACAAAACCTTAATCAGGCGCGATGCGTTCTCGAAATCCGTAATCCGCAAAGTAGGTGTCTAGGAATTCCTAGATTTTACACCTAGACTAATGTCTCGAGCGAAATTTCCAAATACTTCATCCCACAATGCGAAAAGCTATGCGCGTCAGGCCCGATACAACTAGCTTGTAACGGTTCCCTGCGAGTGCTGCTTGATGTGTGCAAGTGGTGAAGCGTACTCAGCATAGGGAAGTGACAGATGTGATTTATTACATATTAGATCTGTGAGTAGTTGGACCAGCATATTAAACGGGGGCAGAATGTGTAACACGTACGCGGTTCATCGTGTCCACCGTGGCGGCGTGAGTCCAGAAGCAGTCGTGCACGGAGGCAAAAGTGATGCCTTCACGCAGACAGTGCAATGCGGTCAGCATCATGTGGCAAGAGTCCAGGGAGTGCACGAAGTTGGGCGGAAAGGCGTTTTTCTGTTTGACTGCATTGGGCATCGGCAACGCCATGGACTGGGTAGTACCCTCGACATATGATTGAGCCAACTTATTTGCCAATTGCAACGCGGAGGGGCCGAGAGCCGGAGATGAGCTGAAGGCAGAAGACCAAGATGAGGAGGCACCTAAGAGACCATCGTAGCCCTTGTTCGAGGTGCCGGGCAGACGCATATACGGTTGCCTGATTGGTAGACCCAGTGGACTCTCCCAGGACACGCGGCAGCCCATGTGCCGCGACAGGTGATGTGCGATCTGCAGAAAAAACGAAGGGGAAATTAACTCGGATGGTGAGGTAGGTGCACGGAACAACGGATGGCCAAATGCAGAATGACTACGCATTCGGACGAGCAACCATAGACGAAGGAGTACTACACTCAGTCCCGTAAGTCAGCCACGTGTCGTGTACCGAATCAAGATGGACCCAGATGCCAGTATCGGAGTCATCATACAATTACCGGGGAACGGCAGTAGCAGTTGAAGCGTGAAGAAAAACAAGTAGATAGATGGGAAGAGAGGAAATTGATGGAAATCACCACATACATCGCCAGCCATGGATCGTGAACGCGGCACAGTCCGCGTGGGACATGCTAAGGGGCCTCGTCGACCGCGCTGATTTGGTGACAAACCATTTCTAGATAAGATTCGTTTAAATAACTGTCGAAGCCTTCTTTGTTAGCTGCATGTGATGGGACGTCAACTAATGCATTTGTTGGGCTGTAGCCAAAAAGTAGGAAAGATGTATGTATGGAAGCAATTCGAACCAGACGCCACTCTCAGAGACGCATTGTGGTAGACTACTAGTTCCTGTCTGTGAAATGATCAGATTGTGGCGGCCACAGCATCCAAGAGAAATCGCGGCGTCCAATGCCTAAAGTTGCCGCTATTTTGAAGCATCGATCCAAGACTGTCGTAATCCACTATTCGCTATCTCAATCATCTGAGTGTAGGCTAGCTGTCTTATGATACTTCAGATTACTTCTTAAAAAATAGCAACCAGATATTATTACTATCCCAGTACTTTTGAAAAAGGTGAAACTAGTAGGAATTGAACACTCTGACGAGTGTCGAACGATGATGGAACGTGACCAGGATAGTCAGATTGAGTGGTTGATGTAATCTGGAATACGGCTCAAGTGAACATGTGTTGGATATTCTCTATTCCACAGGGTCTCGGTCAAAACGATCAAATTCTTAATGAACTGTTGATGGTAACCGAATCAGAAGTTGACAACTTGTCGCAAAAGCGTGTTGGAAACAAGCTAGTGAAACCATACAAATAGTGCGAATAGCGACGCTTATTTATAGGCGATCCAAATAATAGTTAATGCTGTGACAGCTGCATCAATTGCACAAGTTGTCAACGTAAGACCAATCCGACCAACGAAGAGGTAGGTATGTGGGCTAACCGACGGACCAAAATGTTCCCAGATGGGTTTATCGATTCAGTGGTACATCTCAGGTTGAAATTGTTTTTCATGGGAATAGTGGACTTTACCGAGACACCAATAAAAAATAAACCAAGGGATTACGCGGTCTTGATGAACACAATTTGTTCACACAAAATCATCAAACATTGCTTGTCGTTGCCTGTCATGTGATAGTTTGGGACGAATTAGGTGTGTATGAGATCCAATAACTTGACTAAACGTAAATCACTCGGCCGGTGGCCGAGTGGTGTGCACACCCGACTTGCAATCATAAGGGCACGGTTCGAATCCGCGTAGAAGTAGGCGTCATCGCGGTACACGCAGAACACGCGCGACTGGTGCGGGTCGCGCGGCAGCGAAGCGCCGTTATGGCGTACAGCTGACACATTATCTTATAGATCATTGGCCAGACAACAGATGAAGAAGACTTCACGTACCTTAAAAGTTGCAATCTTAATACTCTCTTAAAAGTAACGTTAAAATAGGGGGGGATATAATTCCAAACACAAGTCGCAATGGCGGACTGGTGTGAGAACTAATAGCACTGAGAATGGAACACAAGGAAATCTACAACACTGCTACGCACCTGGCCAAACCATGCCTGAATTTCCGTGGATGAGGTGAAAATCGCTCCGATGCTGGCCAGTGTCGCCCGAGCCAGATATGCTGCAGCCGGGCGGATCCACTCACGACCGGGAAAATTGTCCAAATCGAGCAACTGTCTTCGTATTTGCTCCGACGCACCGTACAACGTGACCCCATACACTGTTGTCATCACAGATTGCTTGATCACCTTACGTCGCACAAAGCCGTCTAGGACTTGCGCAACTGCAACACCGGCAGCCGCGTCGACTCGGCGCTGTTCCTCAACCTGACGAAATAGAGAAGAGTGAATGTGGCGATGATTCGGTCATTACCTGCAATAATAAAAACCCGATCGTGTAATTTATGGATGGCGCAAGAAGTTCGAGTGTTTACGACGGCGCATAGCGGAATATCCGAATTAACTAATATGCAGTCAAATTTCGACAGAAAACACGGAATGCGACTCACCACCTCAACAACATCGCTATACACGTCCTGTGGATGAGGACTATCTGTCAGATTGACTGACTCGGCGCCACGACGATCGCGACCCAAAGCGGCGTAATGCTGCAGTCCATTGCATGAGCCGTCCTGGTGAACAGGGAAATGCGATACGTACTTGGCCGGACCACCTTCATGCTCCAGGGCTGCCACTAATTCACGGCAGCAAGCTAGTGTTTGCCACGGCTCATCTTGCTCTTGCCACCATCGACGTCCCTATGGGAAAACGAAGGGGAAAGAGGAGCGTCATTCAAAAAATACGTGGCGATATTAGTAACACCAGATAATGCGCATTGCAGTTCATCAACTGGGATCTATGTGCAGAAATGTAATGAAACAAGTTGCTATGATACACGCTGCATATTTAATAATAAATAAATAAATAATTGATGAATCGGGACAGAGGGTAAGCCAAGGAAAAAGAAAAGCGCACGATCTGCACGGCAAACTTAAGTGAAAAGAATAAATTGCACTGGCATCCTGTGGTTCTATAGCTGATTGTGAACAAAACAATCCCAAGCTTGAAAGCAAGTGAAACGAAGCGTAAAATAAGGTATAATAATAATTAGCAATAATAATAATGTGTCAGCTGTACGTCGTAACGAGGCTTCGCTACCGCGCGACCACCACCAGTTGCGCGCGGGCTGAGTATACCGCGAGGACGCCCACCCCTATGCGGATTCGAACCGGTGATCTTGTGGTTGCAAAGCAAACGTGCAGACCACTCGGCCACCGGCCGACCAGGTATGGAGTAAATATAAATATAATCAGTGCGACGCCGTAAAACAAAGAGCTATAGGTGAGAATTAACATGCTCACTGTATTAAAAGGAAATGGCTGACGACAGAAGACCAAAAATTTGGCGTATGTTTGTACCTATAACCAAGCGCCAGATTGCGGAGTGATCAGAAACACACGGAGAATAACATCGGCCAGAAACTTAAGATTAAATAAACTACTCATTAAGAGTGTGTAAGAAGGCTTACACTATATTTTGTTAGCACATCCCAGCAGTTCAGTCAGGTTTACGCCGAAATCCGGGAAAGCATCAGACGATCGTTTCGCCCTATTCGGGCTCGTCAGAGGTGCGCATTAACGCGGTCCGCTTCAGAGAATGGAACCATGACCGCTAATAGCTTACGCCAACTAACCAGTAGCTTATGCCACTGCGCCATGGAAGAGGGTGGGAGATTGTTATAAATTACAAGGTAACTGGGAGGTGGCGCGACAGCACGAGAATGACGGGAAGATCGGTACGTGCACCTTAGCGGAACACACCACATATTACTTTGCGAATGCAAGTCACGTTACACTTCTAAAGATGCTAAGTGTCATTCGATATTAGATACCAGTAAGATAGCTTGCTCCCAACAAGTTAGAATTCACAGTGATAATGGTCAGTTAGAACAGTCCGGTGAGAAAAAGCATTCGCAAATAAAGCAGCTAGAGGCCATAAATATAGGGAACGAAGGCACCTGCGTCACTGACTCCGTAAGTGTACTGTATCTGATAGAGTACCTATTCACTGATGTAGCCAATCCTGAGGACACCATCCAGCGAGGCGTCCAGTGCCAACACAACTTAGAGATTCGGTGACTATCACTGACTGACCAAACGTAAGAATGAAAATGAGGGGTATGAGAAGTCGGCTTGTGACTACACAACCGAAAATTTAATCGCACAACTAAGCAGTAACAGGTAGCTTCGGTAGATTAGAAAGACGAATCATTCCTGGGAAGAAGAAAAGGAATAAGTATGAGAAGCGGAAGCGCTGAAGAGATCAGCTATAAGTGGTGCTCTAAGTGACCAAATAGAAAAGGGGCAAACAATAAAAGTAAGCAAATGATCGAATCGATGCAATGGAAGTAAGCAGTACGGTGTTTGTGCATCTGCCATAAAGGATTTTTGGCTCGGTAGAAGACTCATTTTACATTTGCGAAAGACATCAGCGAGTTGAGATTGATCAAGCGGGCAATCATGTGCTTAGAAATCGCAACCATCTCGAGAAGTAGGGTATGGTCCTAAATAAACAAATAAATGACTTTAGATCCTCGGTGTTGCACGAGGCACGTCAACAAGGTATGACCAAATAAATAATTGTTGGTAGGTAAGACCCGACATTACCAGGACGACGCACAAGAAGGCTCAACACGTCAATCGCGAGGATAGAATACAGCGACGTTACGGAAAGGATTTGTAAAAGTTGTTATACTATCCGCGAACCCCGAGTGAGAAGGAATAAATCCTATTGCATGACGAGATGTGAGAATAAAGCAGGAAAAGCAAGTGTTGCCTGTTAGTACACAATCACCAATCGTAACGTGTGAACAGGTGAGTGTTAAACTGGAGGTGGAATTCAGCAAAGTTGAGCAGGCTAGCAAAATAACGTGTTGTGGGGGTGTCAGTAGATCTATCGACTAGAGCAGTTGTAGTAAGTCATTATTCATGATCGTCACGGAAACCCTGGCACAAATAGGTGTCAGACAAATATGAGGAATGCGCAAACGGCTAGAGTACGGAACTGTACGAATCTCACATTTTTCGTACGTGAAAGTTGATGAAACGGGGGTGTAAACGAGCGCCTAGGATGAACCTAAACAGCACAGCACAGCTGTGTCGGCTAACCTGGAACCCGTGAAACTGAATAGATCATGTCTTCCAAATGTCCGTTGGCCAAATTTCTAGGTGTGGAGTACATACTGTTGTTGCCACTGGCCAGGTTGGCGATGACGGTCGCCGTGGCTGATGAACAAGGAATGCACCACACCAGTGAGTGAAGTCATCTAACTTTGAGTAATCACTGAAGCAGTTATGCCCCTACCTGCCGTCTATTACACATTTTTCGAGCCATAGTAATCTCAAACAACTGTAACCCCTAGCCCTTGTTCTTGAGGCCAAACTTTGCGATCTGCCCCCCCCCGTTTCCACCATTAGTGTTACATAATTTTTGGCGGCTAAGCAGAGCGGATATACAGAAAAAGCGCGATGCCCAACCGATAGCATGGATTGGCTTCGACACATTATGTGGTCAGCTGGTGAAATCGGGCGATCATCAGAAGGCCTGTGATTGGACGCGAGATCACCCAGCCAAATGGCGTATATATGAACGAAGTGAGCAGTTGACACAATCCCCAGTGCATCAACAGTGCAGACGAGCCGGTATGAGGACGCGAGCGGATGACCAAATAGAGCGCACTGTAACCAACCAGTGAAGCGGAATAACAGGTGATTAAAGTATGTGATACAGATACTGAAAAGTAAGTTAAGTCTATAAATAAAGCCGTCGCTTAACACACAATATACACTGCACACAAAGTCTTGACTACCGGTTTTCCGCGTTGGATTGAAACGCAAGGCAGAGAGAACCGAAGCCTTGCAATGCTACACTATTTCTATTAACAGATACACAGGTATGGCAACTGGACTCGCTGCACTTCGGCATTCGGATTAGAGTTGTTTAAGTCAACTGAAATTAACAGAAGGTCGATCCTCGAGCTACAAAATCACCACCGCACACAATTGGTTGAATATGTCAAGCCATTGGGCATGTGATAAACGACGCCTCGAATGTGACAGAAATCGAGCCCCACTGACAGTTACTCACATCGAAGGGATTCCGAGCTGAGTCGAACACTTCGTCGAGAACAGTGTCCGCAAATTGCAATCGTTCTGCGTTGGAACAGCTGAAAAGAAATGAGAGAACACAGTATGGCACATGTGGACGAATTCCGCAATCTCTGTCACAACAAAAAAGAGGCAGATAAGCATGAGGTAAAGCGCCGCATTCAACATTGTGGCCAATTGGTAGTTTCTTACTAACGAAGCATGTTGTCATGTTAAAAGAAAGCATTTGGACTAATCACGAGCGCCTGATATACCTTAAACACAATCGCCTATCTTCATTCGCTTGACAAAGACACAATGTCTATTAAGCCATTACGGTGTAACGCGGAGGGACTGGACCGATGTCACAAGGTCATAACGAAGCGGTCGAAACATCATCGCGCATGCACATAGTACGAACTAGGCGAGATTTCTGAAGGACGAGGGGGCTGACGTGACTTCATAATGTTATGACACTTCATTTATATGCGCCGTATTTAGCCAGGAGAATGGGAGTCCAATAGCAGAACTGCTGGTGGCCACCTGATTCCATTACCTGGAGATTATCTCAAGATTTTTTCACTCATCACGCACTACACCAGAAAATTCGCTGTAACGCTACTTAAAAAAGCAGAACGAGAACAGTGAAGGTGTCAATGTACTCAAAACTAGGCAAAGAAGCCTGATCGAAACCCATCGAATTTTTTTCGCCATAAACATCGATTACGGCGAACACGCAGCAGAAAAGACAATCGCCAATGGATCCTGTGTACATCAGAGCATTCGAAAATTCGCACTGGCAAGCAACAATAAAGGGGCAAATAGAAGCCAACTGTCAGGTGGGTGCTCATCGGGCACATGAGCCTAGTGCACATACGAAAAATAATTCCGTCAGACCTCATGTCTGTGCGATTCAGATTAAACCGACGAGTTCCCCGCAAGCGCACAATCGCAGTGAAGATCAAAGGCGCGAAAACACATTGTAAGATTAGCTAACAAAACGAATAGAAGCAGAGAAATCAATGGATATCTATCTGTAAAGGAGGGAATGTTCACGTTTTATAACAGACAGGTCAGCTGTCAGAATAAAACAGTTCATTTTCGCTCGACTGACGAGGAGATAGAAACACGTATCATATGATGCAACTGAATGTCTCCAACAATGACTTGGTGCTTCGAGTACAAACCACTAGCCCAAATTGTTTTCTAATTGAAATAATGAATTTTCCTTGGAAAATTCAATACTGTTCACAATTTCCATCAGCACTTCTCACTTGATCTAACTCGGTTCAGTAGTGCCAAAGTGCAATCGATTCGGCTGTCAAGTTAGACTGGAAAAGCGATGATGATGCGGATTTGGAGCTGTTCAGGGGTCAGGCCCCCTGAAGCCGCCAGATGACGTTGCTATGTCAGGCAACGAAACGTCTGGACAACAACCACCCAGCTCGAAGAACAGCTCAAAATCCGCGTCCACACCCTGAGTTACGAATATGCTAATTTATATCAAAGCGATGATGATAATAATGGTGACCCAAAAGATAACGGTAACTACTGAGGAATGAACAAACCGGTGAATCGTCAGATGGAACATTGAAGGCTCAGGAACAAGAGAACGAAGCGCAAGAGCATCACTGACATCTCAACCGTACCAAATAACGACAAGATAGCTAACTACTAACGTGATCGATCCCGCGGAACCGATGCACGAAGAGGATCATACGCAATACGACTCAGCATTTCCACGTCTCCTCATGATTTGCTGTCAACAAAAACGGGAAATACGACGCATTTGTTCTAACCTCCTGAAAGGCCAACATTTCCCATGCGAAGACAAAATGGTAATTAACTCCAATCTAAACGCTCTAGTAAACGCGCATGGTTTTAGTCAAGCAAAAACGTGTATATTTCTTTACATCCATGTCAACGCGCTCAATCGCATCCACTGGAGGGAGTGATGAAAGAAACAAATCGGAGGTCGAATCAAATTGATGCCGCCGGTCAGGAAGAGAACAGTGGTTTAAAACCGGATGAATAGGAATGGAAACGGGAAACAGAAACCGTTGACACATGTCGAAGTACAACTTGTAGGCCACTCGGCATTCGTCCGAAGGCGTTGAAAGTTGCTGCCATGAGTTTGGCAGGACCACTAGCAACTTTCTTACAACGATGTCTGAACGAGATGCATGTCCCCACCATGTGGAAGCACGGAATCATCACGCCTATCTACAAAAGTGGTAGCCGTACTGAACCAGCAAACTATCGCCCGATAACACTACTGCCTGTGATCTCCAAGGTTATGGAGTCCATCGTAGCTGAGGCTTTAATGGGGTACCTGGAGAACAACAAAATTCTCGTTCCGCAACAGCATGGATTTCGCCAAAATCGCTCCTGTACCACTAATCTGTTGATTGCTCGTGCAAGCTGGACAGAATCTGTGGACGCTGGTGCAGGAGTCGACGTGGCCTACTTGGATTTCTCAAAGGCATTCGATCGTACAGATCATCGCATTCTCCTCCACAAACTCCAGAAATATGGAATCGGCGATCCTGTTCTGGGCTGGATAGGAGACTTTCTCGTTCAACGTCACCTGAATGTGAGGGTTAGAAGCAACCTATCAGAATCCATCGAGGTTCAGCGCGGAGTACCTCAAAGCTCGGTACTTGGACTCCGCCTGTTCCTGGTCTTCATAAATGATCTCGTGAGTGTGCTATCTTCTAACTGTTTGTTATTTGCTGATGACCTAAAGGTATGGCGCACTATAGCTGGCACTGATGCACAACTGACAGGACATAGTGCCATAACCCTACTCGAGAATGAGTCACTCCAAACGTCTTGCACGTAATTTGGTAAACGCTACTACTATAGAAACTGGATTTCTGTATCCTGTGGACGCAAGATAGCTGCACACGAATAAGCGTTGTCCTTGCTATCTTTATGTCTTTCTAGCCTATGATGTGGACAATATCCACTCCCCTGTTGCTTTGTGTGCGTACCTTCTCAGTTCAAACTCCCGTTATACGACAGTGCAGTTACATCTGTAAGCGTCCGAACTGACGACTCCATTATCACTTGGCTATCATTTTTTTGTCACGCTAAATACCCTACGGGACATGTCAAGCATCTGCTATTTTACCCGTTATAAAGCATCGTTCATTGTTCAATACAACGGTTTTTACTGAATGTCTACATACAGGAAGATGCATATGAAGTAAATACTGGTCTCCGTCATTAATGGGCGCAATGGCTTGTTAAATCGAGCAGATATTTATTTAGTTTTGTCTTAAACCAACATTCTCAGGCTTTCGCCCAACTAGACGCACAGTTGGCGAGCAATGTCCACCGAGGTTGCAAGTGGGCAGGCATGCGGAGCACAGCATATTCAATGAAAACAATTCGAGTTTAACAGGAACTACAATGTCTCATTGTTGGGTCGAAAAAGTTAGAACTAACTTCCTATGGCGTCAGAAGGTTTCTTTCGGTACGAAAGGTCATGTGTACAAGGTCACAGTGAAAGCCATTGTACTCCATGGTGGTGAGACTTGATCCCTTCGGTCTGAGGATCCGAGGCGCCTTGAAGTCCTTGATCACAAATGTCTACGGAGTATTGCCGATGTCGCATGGCAACAAAGTATCCGCAACAATGGTGTGCACAGGCGAATGTTAGGCAGCGATGATCTGGTTACTTCTTTGCTGACGAGCTCAGCAAAATGAAGCAAGCGGCCGTTAGCATGTCTCAACTGGCACTCTGTGCACAAATGTCCTATAGTTAAAGTGTGTAGAACTAAATCGGTTGGACCAAAAGCGACCAAACAGCATCCAGATAAGTACCAAGGACGACAATGGATACTCACTTGGAGAATTTCGATAGACAACTTGGACCTCAATAATACTCGAATGCACCTTGATGGTGACCAGTCTGTGATAAGGCTTTGTGAGAAAGTTGCTGAGAAAGAAAGAAGGCGTCACCTTGTGGGCCCGTGTCAACTGATGTGTTGACCGATCGAATGCATCAATAGAGACAAAATCTCAGACAAGCAAAGGAAAGATCGTTCAAAACCTCACAGTGAAATGGAAGCCAGTGAGCAATCGACTTACCGTTTCTTTAGCCCTGTCAAGTTGATCAAATGAATTTTCAACCAGTCTAGACCGCGTTCGCCAAGAGGCAAACCAGTGGCGAACACGATGAGACCCCGTGCGACATCACTGCCTGTACCACCGATGGGAGTGGTTAGAATGAAATGGGAAACATGTGAAACAAGGTAAAATATGAGAATGACGAATGATTTAAACAAAGTAATTGATGCAGTACGAATGTATATTTCAATATACTGGAAGGTAAAAACACCAATGGAACGCATTTTGTAAATCTACACTCAATGGAAACGGATAGTCGCGTCCGTCGCGACGGTGACAACCAGCCACCGGTGTGGCACTCCAGCATGATTTAAATGATGACGTCAGTAGTAAAAGAGAGTTCTAGAGGGGAGCAAGAATTTTCGAATTATTAACAATGCATCAGTTAGACTTGCGCCAACGCGTGGGCTCAAGGATCACAAATCTGCTTTGTAATCGGAGGTCGAGGGTTCAAGGATGCGTAGTACCGGGGAATTACATTTGAATTTGTAAACAGATAAGAAACCCAGCACAACAGCGAAGGAATTGGCAGGGAGGGGCGTCTGGCCAAATCTCAGATGTGCACCAAAGCTTGGGCTTCATACCGTCGTTCACAAAATTCCCAGCTTGTACAAACCGCATGCAAAAACAGCGCATAAATGGATTTCCTCAATTCCGCCCACATAGACTCTCGATATTCAGGTGCTAACTTATCGGAAATGCTAGGTACTCATCGTTGGCGGCATCCGGTTTCGGATTTGCCTGTCACTGTGGCCAGCCACAGGACGCTTGCGCCTACAGAGGGACCATGGGTGGATTGCGCTGCACCACCCACAGCTCCAACCACACCCCCCACATCCAGTGTAAACCCGAAGGAATAAGACCGGGAGGCATGTGGATGGGAGCCACGTTTCATCAACGGAGTCGGCCCACACTCCTTCACAGACAAACACAAGCACGCTGTATTTGGGAAATCAAGTGCACACACAAGGCGGTGGCTGGACGGTAGTCCACTCCACACTGAGTGCATGGAACCACTCTTCGGGCCTAGCACGTCCACAAGGACCGTGTACCCCGTCACCTCCAGCAACGACCAACTGTCTCCTAGAGCCAGTATGGACGAGGTAGTAGGTAATAGACAGGTAGGCACCTTGTCAACATGCACAGCAAGCGCAGCCACACCGGGAATATCAAGCAACAGCCAATCACTTGAAACGACAAGATGAAATAAAATAAATGGGAGAATGCATACACGTACGGTGGCATAAGTTTTCACTAAATGGGCGTATAAAATAAATTGGTTACAAACGAATCCGCGCTAAGTTCAAAAGGTCAGAAAAGATATTTTAAGGAAATGCCACAAACACGAAAATGTTATCGAAATTAACTACAATTAGCTTCAGCGAAGTGTGCAAGTTTATAGAAGATAGTACAGGTAGACATTAATGAGAAAGAAAAGCATTAGGACAAAATTGCAAACCCACCGCCAGAAAAAGAGAGGCTCAGCATGCACACACGCGGTTAGTAAATCGAATGCAAGTTACCTACAACGCGGCGCCCCTTCAGCCTAGGTTCTCCGCAGGACACGTCGTCGCTTCGGTAGTGGTCTCGAGTGGACTCGCTCATTGCTCACTAGGCCTACCTGACTTAGGCACCCGCGACCGCATGTGATACGGCACCACGCACTCGATGTCGATGGAGTACAACCTATCGGTGCTTGCCGCTTCAGCACTTGCCGCTTCTTCTCTACATGTATGAGGTCTTTCTCCTGCACTTCGGCAACTGTCTTACAGATCAGATCGCGCCATGCACGCCGATCAACCGCCTTCGATTCCCATGATCTGAAATCAAGATTAGAACGTGAGAAGCTCACTTCGATCATGTCCTGCTAACGTAATTTTGGTTTACCCACATGCCGCTTCCCAATACTCAGCTGATCATATACTAGTTGTTTCGGTATCCGCGTCGAATCCATACGGCTCACATGACCGAGCCATCTCAAGTGTTCCAGCAAAAGTATGCAGTCCACTTTGTCGCAACACTTCCGTGTCTGCAGCTCTGTTGCCTCAGCCGAAGCGCAAAATTCGTCGCAGACACTGCTGATGGAATCGCTCGAGATATCGCACATCCCGACGGTACATCGTCCACGTTTCACTGCCGTATAGAAGAACGGACAGTACCATGGATTTGTACACCATCAGCTTCGTGCCAATGCTAAGCTGATGGTTGTTCCACACTCGGTACTCTAGTTTTCCGAATGCCGCCGCTGCCTTCGACACGCGAGTACGCAACTCAATGTGTAGTTGCTGATCAGTCGACATCACACTCCCAAGGTAGCAAAAGCGGGAGGTGGTTTCCAATATTTCAGCACCAATGCTGATTCGCGGCAATATTGAAGATTGCACCTCCGGTGAAGGCTGAAAGAGACAGACAGTTTTGCTTGTGATGATGGTGAGCCCGAATTTGGCCGCTGTCGAAGCCAGAGCACTAGTCATATGTTGCAACTCATCCGCGCTGTGTGAAAACAACGCACAGTCGTCAGCAAACAGCAACATACGAATAGTTGTCTCACAGACTAGAGTTCTCGCACCGAAACGACGGATGTTCAGCAACCCACCATCAATACGGCGTTCCACACGAACACCGTAAGCACAAGCGGCATCAAAAGCACAAGACAACATTGCATAAAGATATATATTAAACAGGGCAGGAGCTAAGACACAGCCTTGCTTCACACCAGTGACAGCTGCACGCTCGCTCGCATATCACTGTGCAGACATTCAATCAAACTTACAAACTTACGCGGGCAACCAAACTTACCCAACACCAGCTACAATGTTTCGCGGTTCACCGTATCAAATGCCTTGGTGAAATCAACAAAATGCAAGTACAAGGGCTGGTGTCGTTCTCTGCACTTCTCCTGCAACTGACGAGCTGCAAACACCATATCTATAGTGCTGCGATCCGAACGGAATCCGCATTGCTCTTCCGCCACATTAGGTTCCACAACCTGACTGACGAGGCGGTTGAGCAGGATTCGGGCAATCACCTTGCTCACACAACTCAGCAAATTGATGCCACGATAATTCGTGCAACACTGTTTGCTCCCTTTGCCTTTGTACAGTGGTAGCACAAGGGCATCCTTCAGCTCAGGAGGCACCTCCTCCTCAATCCACACGCGTTGCACCAAGTGGTGCAGCGCAGTCAACAACGCGAGTCCGCCGTGTTTCAATACTTCAGGCGGGATCCCGTCGGCTCCGGCACATTTGCCGTTTCGCAGCTGAGCAAATGCTCTCTGCGTCTCATCCAGTGTCGGCGTGTCCGCCAGATTCGCCTTCACATCGTGCTGTTTCAGGCCGTTCAATGTAAGCCAGTCGATCTCTGAACGGTTGTTCAAGAGACATTCAAAGTGTTTCCGCCAGACTTGCATTATGTCTGCAGTCTGGGTGCAGGTAGCGCCTGAACTACCATCGATCAGCGTCCTCAGCGGCTCCAATCTCGGTCCATACACCGCCTTCAAGGAGTCAAAGAATTCCTTGTGTTGACGGCGTTCGGCGTAGCATTCCATCTGCTTCGCGTTCTCCGTCCACCATGCATTTTTAATGCGACGGAGCTCTCGGGTCAGTCGCCGTCGAAGTTTGCGAAACTGACTACTCTTCCCCAAGTCACTGGGGTCGGCAACATGTGCAGCAAATGCTGCATTCTTCTCCGACACCAATGCGCCAATCGTCACATTGTTCTCATCAAACCAATCAGGCCGTTTACAGTTTGCGCGCCCGATGGTGTCCTCGGCAGCAGCTGTCACCTGGTCGCGAACGTGGTGACACAGGTCGCCCACTGTGGCTATGCAGTCCACATCACACAGGCGTGCAGCCATCGCCTTCTCCAGCTCAGTACGTTTCGCCACAGTACCGAGGGAGAGAATGTTAAATTTACGCCGATTCACGGCGGGAGTGCAATACATTGATTTACGAAAATATATGTACAGTTTGGTCCGAACCAATTTGTGATCAGTGCCACACTCAGCTCCACGCAGTACACGTGTCATGCGCACTTCACGCATATCACGCTGACGTACGATGACATAGTCGAGCAGGTGAGCGTGACCACTCCGTGGGTGCGTCCAAGTTGCTATATCACTCGCACTCAGTGCAAACCGAGTGTTCATGATCGTCAGGCCGTGAGTGGCACACAGTGAGAGCAGCCTATCACCGTTCGCATTCGCTGAACCAATGCCATGCGCACCGATAACATCTGTCCACGCTGATGCATCACGCCCAACGCGCGTTGAAATCACCCAGCAGAAATAGTCGGTCGCTCCTCGGCACAGACCGTATCACGGAGGATAGCTCAGTGTAGAATTGATCACGCGTGGCACCAGGATAACACATGGTCGGACCATACGTGCTTATAAAAGTAGCAAACTTACCTCTTCCGAGTCGTAGGCGAACAGTCATCAGTCGCGCGCTGATGCCTGTTGGTTCACCCACGAGCTGGCCATGGAGGCGATCAGATATTGCAAATCCGACCCCATGTTCACGTGGTGCTGAGGCGGCGTTGCCCACCCAGTAGAATGTGTAGCCAGCACCTGCTTCATGCAACTTACCTTGCTCAGCGAGCCGAGTTTCACTGAGCGCCGCAATAGCGATGTTGTAGCGCGCCAGCTCCATCGCGACCAGTGCAGTGCGTCGCTCCGGGCGCTCGCTGGAGTTCCGGTCCAGCAGTGTGCGCACGTTCCAGCACTCGATGCTGAGTGCTTTGCGCGCAGGCATACGATTGCATTGGTGGTCAATCGCACGCGAGGTGGTCGTTGTGCTTCGGAGGTTTGCTTGAGGGACTCCACCCGGAGCCTTTGGCTCAATAGCCTGACCCACAAGGCAGTGGGTGGTTTGGAGGTTTGCTTGAGGGACACCGCCCGGAGCCTTTGGCTCAATAGCCTGACCCACAATGCAGTGGGGAGCAGATCCAGCTCGGGAATGTGATTGCAAAGACAGATGGGGATCTGCTTGACGGCCGTCACACGCAGCCTTTGAGGTACTGGAACAATTATTATATGTTTTGCGACTGTAATAGAATACGCATCTGCGACCACGGCCAGACGCAGGTGAGTTTTGGCGGGTTTGCACCAATTTGACCAGGGGCTGCCTGGCTTGAGGCGGACAGTAGCAAACCATTGAACACCCGGAGGTGTCCTCCCACCGTCAGAGACAATGCGTGGCACTCGTGCTCTACGCCAATCGAGCTGTGAGCTTATAACCCGTAAACCTGTCTCCCATGGCTAGGTTTTACGGGAAGAGGGCCATCGACCACTTCCTAACCTCCGAAGAGGATGGACTAGGATACTGCCAGGGCGCCCACACATGACAGGAGAACGACTCGGGTCCTCAGCCAAAGCCTTCGATTAAATGAATACCCGAAAGGCAGCGGATCTAGCACATGGTCAGTTCACTGACTCATGCGGATTGTTGTCCTGGATCTTAGCAGGGAGAAGGGCAAAACCCAAATCCCACCCAGCGGTCGCCACGTGGAGGCGCCCAGGATATGAGACTGTGGCGCAACAGTAGCAGCAGTGGGTAGACGATCTGTCAGGATCTAGGCACCACCAGCCTCAGCGCACCATATATATATATATAGACAGCAGTATATGAATAGACATGGAGTCATCGAAAAAGCATGAGGTACAAACTATAAAAAGGCACAATGGTCACGAACAGGTAACAAATACGTTTTCGGCTTTTCGTTTTCACACGCCATTTGTAGTTTTTGCTTGTTGAATGGTATAGCTCTTATTATATTGTTCAAAATGTTTCAATATACAATCCTTCCATTGATTCCGGTTTTGCACCATATCTCCAAGTGTGTCGAGCCATTTGCAGTCCTCAGCCTTGTGCCCCCAACCAGGAAGACGTACTGGGCAGAGGATTTAGAGTCAGGTCCGTGATTTCATGGGTTGACGCCAAGTGGTTGGCTGACCTACACGCGCCCTCCTCCGACACAATCCCGTGCGAGCAAATAAGGCGCGGTATGGCAAGCGCTCGCAGGACATAAGTAGAACGTGACCAAGCCGCCGGAGCTAAAGCACTGTGACAAGGCGATCAAGCGGAGAGCTCATGTTTCCCAAGACGCGACACCGGATTTCATCGTTGCAAACCTGGTGCTACTACCACGCACGGACTATCCGCCGCAAACACGTATTGTCGAAGGTCGAAAGCCTACGCATGTCATCCACACGAATAGGCCAGGACACACTTCCGTAAAGCAAGACCGCGCGGACACATGGGTCGTAGACCCTCCCCTTCTAGGGAAAGGGATATGTTCCGACGACCCACAAATGACTCATGTTCGTAAATGCCGACCGGGCTCTGGCGATGCGATGAGACCTCTTTCCCAATATTGCCATCAGCAAAAATACAGCTTGCGAGGTAGACAAAATTGTCCACAAGCTCTAGCTGTGTTCCTTCAATGGTAAGTGAGGGGGCAGACGACTTCCAGTCCTGGAGTAGCACTTTACACTTCAAGGGGGAAAAGCGCATACCATACTTAGACGCTTCAATCATCAGACAGTTCAAAAAGAATTGTACACCCTGTGGATCGTCACTCAATAGAGCGATATCATCAGCATCATCTAAGTCGGTCACGTGATTGCCAGGAAGAAGCTCAACACCAAGATTTTGGGAGCCTTCCAGAGGTCTCAACAGGACGTCCTCAATTACAAAGTTAAAAAGGAATGGGGACAAAGGGCACTGTTGTCGCACACCAGTAGAGATAGAGAAGAGTGAGGAAAGCTTGCCATAGACCCGCAAACTACTTGAAACACTTGGAAGCAAAGCGCCCGAATAATAGAAATGTACTTTTCGGGGGCTCCATTTCTTGGCAAAGAGTGACATAAAGCAGGCAGATCGACCGAGACAAATGCAGGTCGAATGTCCAGGAAAACGAAAATTGTTGGCTTGTGGCGGTGTTCAAGGATTTGGTGTAGCATGAAGATCTGGTCCACGCATCCTCGACTACGGCGAAAGTCAGCTTGTTCACAATATAACAACGCGCGCATCGGGGGTAATCTGCGGAGCTGTATGCATGCCTGCAGTTTGGAAGCAACGGGCATGAGACTGATTCCCCTGGGATTAGCATATAATGTGCGAGCACCTTTCTTAAATATATGGACAAGTATTAACTCACCCCAGGAGGATGGAACCTTCTCTTCGTTCCACATCTTGGAAAACAGCGATGACAACCGCTTGACAAATGTTGGGCCGCAAACTTGAACATCTCCGGAGGAAGTTCGTCCGAGCCGGGAGAATTGAATCTCTTGAGGTGCCGAATCGCGACGAAAGCCTCCACTTCTTTAGGTAGCTCCAGTGAAATGGCCCAGGGTATGCATACTTGGCATACAAGCCGACAATGGATGGGGTGAATTGGGAGTGAAAATGTTCGGCCCAACACTCTATGCGTCTCAGCAGGTTCGTGATTCGTGACCCATCCGCTTCACAGATAGTCTCGTTGACAACAGACCTTCTGAGGCCGGTGAACCGAATGAGCTGGAAGAGCTTGCGGAAATTGCTGGAGAAAGCAGCGGTCTCCATCTCCGAGACGCGCTGAGACCACCAAGTCTCGCGGCCATTACGTAGGCCCTGTGTGAGTTGCCAATTGAGAGTCTAGCGCACAGAATTATGAGCTCTCTGGTGGCACATTTCGACGGCGGTCAAACAGTTTTAACGAACGAGCAGAGATTCAACTTTGCAAAGGATGTTGGGTGAGACAATCAGGAAGGAGACGCAAACCATTAAGTCCGGCCACTATTCTCCTATACAGTCGAATTATCAAACCATCACTATAGTTGTAGTCAAGGTAAAATTCACATCACAGACTGTTGCGGGGGCGTAGAGTGTTCCCGCAAAAATATGCGACTGCGCCGCGAACTCCAATGCGCGAACTGCACCACGCGAAGTCTATTTTCCACCTACAACGCAGCAGCTTCCAGGCAGTCAAAGGCAGAGCACAGCCGTGTCAAAATGAACAGTGGTCTTTGTGAATCACGCGTCCGACGTGGTGATTCTTTTCTTCCACAACCGTGTTCGGCGTCTGTGGGTTGTACAAGAAGTCTCAAAGATCCATTTCGTCTTCTGTCTTTTATCTTGTGGATTGGCTGGGAGTCGCGCGGGTCGCGTGATCGTGAGTTATCTGGTCGGCCTGCTTCGTGGGCGCGCGTAGTTTCTCGGCGAGTGCGCACCATCTTGTCTGGTTTTGTGGACCTAGTGTGTTAGCCGAATCTGTGCGAAATTAGGGGCCGTGCTGCAACGTCACTTGAAACTTCGCGGCTACGCTATCGCGGCTAGGGAAGAGCAACATTTATTGCACAGACATTAGCTACCTCGCGCCAGTTAACTTCTAGAAAGCGAGTTGGTCGCTGATACATTGTGGAATGCACAGAAGATAGTGGGAAGATTAAGTGCTAGTCAAGTTGCGAATGGCCTGCGAGACTTACCCATGTGGTGAAAATGCGGAGGACATGGGTACACGCGACCACGAAAGTCCATGCTGTGAGGGAACCAGAACACGCGTCCTCGGTACTGTGATAAAACAACAAAAGACCATGCAATGAAATAAAAGCATCAAATACCGGAGGAAGCGAAGGCAACGAGACCATAGAAAGCGAACTGGCATACACGTAGGGAGCATGCAATGAAAGCCAATTGGAGTAGATGGCAAGGGAATGTAAAGAATGCAAGTCCTTGCAATCTGCCAGTCAATCTACTTATTTAGTGAAGCAGTGAACAGCCAATCAAAATGAGGCGCCAATAGAACTGCAAGAACCTCTTCGTGTCAGAACCATATGCATACAGTCGATCTCACTGAATATATCAATGAACAGCCAATCAGGATGAAGCACACTTAACACTACAGGCCGCGTCAGGGTCTACGGTGATCGGTCGGACAGCTTTTCGACAACAAGTGGTGTCTGTCAGGATTGTCCGATTTCCCAGTTTTTGTTCAATTTCGTCGTGGATACTATCATGGAATGTTCCCTTGAGGAACATCATGATACAGACGTCGAGGTACCGTCAGGCGAAACGTTAGTTGACTTTGATAATACGGAGGATGTCGCTTTGCTTTTTGATGATATTGCAGCGGCACAATCAACCCTGAATAGACTCTGGAGTGGTCCCATTGTTTGGTATGTTTCGCAACTTCAAAATGCAAAGTATCGTTGCAGGACAACCAGCCACTTGACGACCCCTTGGCCCATGATAACAAGGGACTCTAATTGGTTGATCGACTCACTTACCTTGGCAGCTGCACCAGCAACGATGGGATCACAGAAACTGAAGTAAGTTCAGGCACTGCAAAAGTCAGAACTGCCTTCTTGAATCTGCGACATATTTGGCGAGAGGAGTTTCATTCCGTTTGAAAGGCTGTGTTCCCAAGACCAAATTGACGGTCGTCCTACCCTATGGAAGCGATTTGAAGATTTGGGCCCCCTTGAAGTCTGTAATCATCCTTGTCTGCGAAACACTGATGGTGTCGGATGGCACCAGCGTGTTCGCAAAGATGACGTGCCTAGATGAATATTAGGCAGTGATAACCAAGTAAGTTCCTTAGAAATACAGATAGCACTGAATAAGTTGCGTTGGCTTGGGTACGTATTATGTATGCCTGGTCACCGCTTACCCAGGAGGTGTACGGTGACGCAAGGCTGGAGGTGGACAGAAGTTGATTTGGCAACAGAAAATGAACTCACGGACGACCAAGCTCGGTTCCCGTGATCCGTCTTGCCTTCGAGGCTGGGATCCACGTGACCCACCTTGTGCTTGGGTCGAGACTTAACGGGACGGCTCACAACCAACACCAGTGGCGCGTCCGCTGCGGTCTCCTAGTTGAAGTGTCTGGTTAAAGTGTGTTTAGTGCTGAGTTATCTGCGGGGCAATGGCTGATTATGATGCCGCGCAATGAAAGCTGCAAGGAACCTATCTTGCCGTTGCCGCCTTATCTTTGCAGGATGATCATTCACCATCATTATACACGTTAACAAGAGGTGGAAAACACCACAGCTAATGTGCCGCAAGGCACAAAAGAAAATAAATGCAACAGTTGCATGCCAGCTGAGCTAGCAGCAACGGATAGGCATCGCTACGGTAAGCTACCAGCCGGCTACTAGAAAAATTATTATGTAAAGTATATTACGCTACGAAATGAGATCGTGGTTAGAGAGAGAGGTTAAAAGGAATGGGGAGAAACGAAAAAACTCAGCAGGAACGAAAATGAGGTCGGCTCCTTGCCATGTCAACAAGTGCATTTAGCCAAAAGTGTTCGTCTTTTGGACCCCAACCAGGAAGCTGTGAAGCTACAACCCAGGCCAGCACAGAAGTGAGGGCCTTCATTCCTCTCGACCAAGTCATCGCTTGGCCACCCCTCCTATTCTTTCGTCCACACCCCGGTGGGCAAACAACACACGTCGTGGAAGTCAGTGGGCTGGCATGCGCAACACGTGGCCCAGCCATCGGAGCCTGGTGCGGGGAAATAACGGTGCTGAGCGGTTCAGTTCCGTTTTCTGTGCCATAAACAGGGCGTCGAATACGCTCGTTACTCACGCGGTGTTCCCACCATATGTGAGCCAAACTGCGAAGGCACCGATGATCGAACGTAACTAGCCTCTTCATGTCCGCCGATTTTAGGGGCCAGGTTTCACAACCATACAGCAGGGTCGAACGTACCGCTGCATTGTACATATACCCCTCAGGGCGAGAGTGATGTCGCGCCGCCGCCATAGGTGGCGAAGGTTAGCAAAAGCACTTCAAGCTTTTGCTATACGGTTCCTGATCTCGTCTTCGATCCCAAGGGCGCTGATATAACTTCCCAAGTAGTTGAATTTTTGAACGACTTCTAGCTTATCCCCAAAAAGGGTCAGCGAAGGAGGCGATCCCTGTCAATCTTGAAAGAAAGCTTTGCACTTCGATGGTGCAAACCAAAGCCCGAAGCGGTTGACAGTCAGTGCTAATCTGTCCAGTGCAGCTTGGTATGTCAGGGAGCTATCACAGATGAGGGCAATGTCGTCTGCATACTCCAAGTCAAGAAGTCGTTTTCATGGGAGTAGCTCCGCACCTTCCAAGTAATGTCCGGTAAATGTAATCTCCATGACTTCGTCAATAGCGGAGTTGAACAGGAAAGGTGACAACGGGCATCCTTGTCTCACACCGCTGGAGATATTGAAGGGCGACGAAAGCTTGCCGTAAGCCTTCACACTGCCCGGGCTACGCGCGTATAATGCCCGGATAATAATTACATATTTCTCTGGCACACCTTACCTGAGTAGTCAGTTCAATAGGACACCAATCAACCGAATCTAGGGCACATTTGATGTCGAGGAACACGACTACTGTGGGCCGCCAATCGGTGTGAAGGTGTTCCAACAATTGACGCAATGAAGATGTGGTCCATGTAGCCACGGCACCGACGAAACCCAGCTTGCACCTCACGAATCTGGCTTTTAGGAGCGCCAGTCAGTCTGTGAAGGATTACAGAGGCAAGTCATTTGGAGGCGATGGGGATCAAACTGATTCCTCTATGGTTGCCGCATTCCGAACGCGAGCCTCCTTTAAAGATGGGAGCAATAACGGAGCGGCTCCAGTCGATGGGGACAGTCACTTGCTCCCACAGTTTCACTAGTAATTCATGTAAAGCATCAACAAAAGCAGAGCCTACGAATTTGAAGAGAGCTGAATGAAGATCATCTCGTCCCGCGGCTTTGTTCAACTTCAACAGTCCGATCTCACGTTCGACTTCTGAGCGAGAAGGTGGATTCAAAAAAACACCAAAAGGAGCAGGGCGATCAATGGCCGATGAGGAATCGAACAATTCCGGCCGATTAAATTCCTTTTCAAAATGCTCATCCCAATGCTCAAAATGTGTCGATAAATTGTGTATAGGCTGTCCGCTCTCGTCACGTATAGTTTCACTAACACCAGGTCTCCTGCTGCCTATTTCCCGTATCAGACTGAATAACTTACGATGGTTTCCAAGGGCATCGGCCAAGTCCATCTCTGATGCACGATGAGACCACCAGGATTCGCAGTCTCTCTTCAGGTTAGCACGGAGTCTTGCGCGGAGCTCTTTGCGAGTTTCATTGTGTTCGCTTCCAGTCGGAATATGCCGGCGAGCATCTATCAGTAACAGAGACTGTGAAGATACCCAATGTCCATGTTGGCTATTAGACATACCACATGAGGATTTGCCTGCTGCTAGTAACCTCTGATGAACATGTGACCAGTGACCATCAATTGTCTCCAGTGACCGCTTACTCAACTCGCATGTCAGCGTACTTCAATACGCATTCAGAACAGCTGGCTTCGTCAGTTGGCTGGTGTCAATGCGCTCACGAAGTCGTCGTGGGCGTCCGCAAAAACGCATCCGCAGGCCAGCACATATAAATGCATGGTCAGTGTCCACATATGTGCTCCAAATCGAGCGACAGTTCTGGACGCAGTCTCTCCAGTGGCAACTGATAGATCTGGGTCCATAGCTGGTTCGAGGCTGGTGAGCGCCAAGTCAACCTCCGGCGGGTGCTGTGTCTGAAATTAGCACTCGCAAGAAATAAGCGGGCATCTTCACACAAATGAAGTAACCGCTCACCGTTATAATTACGGAAGCCTACACCGTGCTAACCGCCCAGATGCATTTCATCAGTGGACAACTTTCCAACTTGTGCGTTCAGATCCCCCACCAGAACAACAGTGTCCGTGTTTCTTCTGTGGCGAAGCAGCTGGGTCAGTTGGCGGTAGAAGTCGTTCTTTACCGAATCATCGCTACAGTTTGTGAGTGTGTAGACCGCGATGATGAATAGACACCTACTAGTCCCGCGCGACTTCGAAGCTTTAAACGAGCCAGCCAAACGGACCGCACACATCCGGCTAGTGATTGAAATCCAATCAATCAGAGCAGCTTCAGCCCGGGACACAGGACAATGCCAACACCAGCTTGGCTGGTGCTCGAAGGTGCATCGTCACCAGATAGGCGCAATGAGAAAATACTGCTTGCGTCACCTGAAGGGGCTCGCAGCGTGAGTACAGAGCTCGAGTACTGCGGGCGGGTCTCTGATAAACAGCAGATGTCGATCGAGAGGGTCCCTAATGTTCGGGCAAATGCTGCCGGTTGACCGATCTGTAGCAATGTGTGTACATTGAGTGTTATAACGCTGTGCTCTGCAAGCGACCGGTTGATTTACGCCTGCTGCTAAATCTGCGCCCTTGCGCGTGCTCTGTTTAACGCCTTGGCAAACCCGACCGGAAGGAGGACAAAAGAGTACTCAGCAGACCAGAGTTCTATTAGGGCAAAGAAAGCTCATATTTATATATCGGTATCACAATGCGGATTTGACTATACGCCCACGCTGCACACATACTTGTCCGCTCCATCTACCTAGTTCACCGTGTTGCTCGCGCATTCCAGTCTTCGTCCGCCTACGCAACGCACGGCAACGCGCGTGATGTCTGACGCGCGATTTCATCAGCTTCCGATCAGGCCTTGGCGACAAGCCTGCTGTCTGACGCGCGACCTCATCAGCCCTCGGCTGGGTCCTGCTAACACGCTCGCAGGGACTTTCCCACACACGATAGGTGACAAATGCGCGAGCGTTGGCACTCAGCTTTCTCGCCCAGCTGTCACCTCCCCTTCCGAATTGAGTCACCTTGCACACCCTTCGAACCTGATTGTGTTCATAGCTTTTCGCCCGGGGATCGATTTGCAGGCGTTTCGCCTCTGTGACACCTCTTCCTCCGAATTGAAGCTGCTTCCCCACCATGCATACTAGCTTCAAAGCAGCTTTCTTTGTTTTGACATCAACCAGTTGCCTTGGTGGTTTTCTTCTTCTTCGATATATGTTGTCTGCGGGCCCTTGTATTTTTCCGTGGTTCGGTCTCCGCTGGTCTGCGTGCTTTGTGAATTTCTTGTTTCCCACCGTTAGTTGATAATTGACTCCACCATTTGTTCGGATCACCCTTCCTGTTGACCACCTCCTCCGTCCTCGGAACTCTAGCGCGCAACCCCTGTCACGAATTCTGCAATAGCACACCCTGTCTTTCCGACGTTTCCTCGCTTGACAACTGCAATGCTTTGCTTTCCTGATTGGCACAAGGCGTTTTGCTCTGGATACTGGTTTAGTGACTGGCTTGAAGTTCGGGGCAGCACTGGTGATTCTGCAGCATTCTGGACCAGGTTGGAGCATTGCTTCGTGGCGTCTATTCATCTGTGTAATCTTACTGCCATTGCTTTCTATCGTCGCATCTTTAAGTCTGATGGGCACATTTGATTCTGAAGTAGCAGTGTGGCAGAAGTTTTGCTCCTCCATAGCTTCTGAATTTGCGACCACATTTGCAGCAGGAGTCAATTTGAGCAACTTCTGACATTCTGAAAGAATTTCTTGCGATGTCAGCTTCACTTCCAGTTCCCATTCTACATGAGTGTTTAATTTTTGTGATAGCACTGCCATCAACTGCCTCTGTGACTTTTCGAACTGCGTCTGCTGCTCCTGCAAATGTGCCTGCAATTGCTCAGAGCTGACTGCCATTTTGGGTTCGGTTGAACTCTCGTCGCCACTGTTATAACGCTGTGCCCGCTGTTGACTGGACTGATTTGCGTCTGCTGCTAAATCTGCGCCCTTACGCGTGCTCTGTTTGACGCCTTGGAAAACCCGACCGGAACGGAGACAGAAGACTACTCAGCAGACCAGAGTTCTATTAAGGCAAAGAAAGCTCATATTTATAAGTCGGTATCACAATGCGGATTTGACTATACGCCCACGCTCCACACATACTTGTCCGTTCCATCTATCTCGTTCGCCGTGTTGCTCACGCATTCCAGTCTTCGTCCGCCTACGCAATGCACTGTAACACGCGTGATGTCTGACGCGCGATTTCATCAGCTTCCGGTCAGGCCTTGCCGACAAGCCTGCTGTCTGACGCGCGATCTCATCAGCTCTCGGCTGGGTCCTGCTAACACGCTCGCAGGGACTTTCCCACACACGATAGGTGACAAATGCGCGGGCGTTGGCACTCAGCTTTCTCGCCCAGCTGTCATTGAGGCATACCAACTTGAAGGAGGATCGAGGGCTCCAAATGGAAGCCGATGAACTGGAATGGACCGCTTGGTTAGACATGGGCTTGTCGACAGGAGAGGAGTGACACTCCGCGTTAGCATGTGAGTTGAAATTACATAATCGCCTAGCAAAGCATGTTAGGTGAGAGTCAAGAATCGGGGGGTTGAAAACTGGGGGGACAAAAGTGAAGTTAGAACTGGACGGTAAGCGTGAAAAAGCATAAGAGGGGGAATAAGAAGACGGGAAGGCTTGAGCAGTAGCATCCAAATCCGTATCTACCCTACTCGACGCAGCAGATAGGGCACCGTTGATTATCCTCTGCGGTGGCCAGAGCATCAGAAATTTGTTTGAAGAATGATTTAGGGTAGATCGATCGGGTAAGATGAAAAAGTTAGCAAGTGGCAAAACAGACCATTCTCACGAATTCGGCTCTAAACAAAGGTCGCAAATCACAGACTAGTGAGATTGTCCGACGTATTCAAAGGAAACACCATTCGTGAGCCCGGAAGTCTCCAAGATATGAGAAAAATAGGGGAAATGATTCTGTTACGTCAAAGTGCATGGAATTGTAATGACTTACTGACATTAGAGAATGAAGTTCAGATGGTGGATATCTGATCATAAATGCAACAGAATTCTCGCCAAGCGGGAAGGTAGCTCGCTTGGTCAGACTAGTCAGAAAGGGCCCCTTGGAATAACGCGAACACGATTGTCCCCTAAAACTTTAGTATTCGTTTTTAAGTCTAAGCAGCGCAATTGCCACCTCACTCCCGTTGAATACAAAGCAGCCTTCAGAGGATGCTGTAAAGGTCAATTGCCTCTTTCAGTTTCAAACACGAAGACGAACCCGAATCGTAGCCAATAAATCCAGGATAAGAAATGTGTTGGAATTGTGATGAGTAACGGTTTTGAAATATCACGGGTGCCAAGAGGACAAACCGCCAGAGAGAGTTGAAGACTTATGGTTCAGCTGGATCATGAGTCGTGCCACCCACTCATCATCATTCATCATTATACACATCAGCTGGAGGTGGGAAAAACACCTCCGCTATTGTGCCGCAAAACACCTCCGCTATTGTGCCACCCGCTCGCTATGTAGTGGTTGGTGTGCTAACCAAACAGTACTCAGAAATGCGCCATGGGTGGTGGCGTCTAGTTTCTGTTAGTTTCGGTTATGACAAAACATTATGACAGTAGATAATCGTGAACTCGGAATCCCACAACGGCCGTGGCTGTAAACGAAGATTGTCTATCGGAAAGCGAAAAAGTGGGGACGGGGTATGAATGATTACCTGGTTTGCTATGGATAACCGGTAGAGCTCAGACGCCCACAAAGAGCAAGTTTCGTCGTACAGCTTTTGTGCCTCTCGAGCTTGACGCCATACGGAACGACGTTCCTCTTGGGTCATCGATCTAAAACACGCAAATAATATGAATATAACGGATAGGAAATGTCGTGTGCAGTACGAATGAACCGAGGAATTGCATAGCTTTTGTGAAACGGTCAGATTGCGTAGATTACATAGGGTTTTGTAAAAGTAGGTTAGCGCAGCCACAGGGCGAGTGTTAAAATGGCCTCATCAGACCTATGGGCATATGTGGCGTCTGCAACTCCGTCTTGTGACCCGGTATGGTGAAAGCTCAACGATGGGAAAGAGAACACTACGCACGGAACACACGTACGAAAACTGACATTCCCAGTCTGGGTACATGTATAGTGATTCATTTAGTAGTCAATCGATAAACATATGCCCGATCAGTCGCGGGCTGCAGAACGTAGGTACGATTGACAGGGGTGAAAGAACTACCGGCGTTGCGCACACAAGATTTCACATGAAACTGAAAGTAAGTTGGTAACATATAGAGGGGGTTGACAAAGCCGGAGAGCCAAAGCAGAGATACGCACTGTGTGATCGCCGGGGCGGTAGGTGATTTGTGTACAGCTGTTTCGGGAATACTAAGCCGTCGATTACCTCCGGAACGAGCGACTTCGATCAGATTGTCCAAAATCTGATGTAAAAAAGTAAAAAGAACGGGGATCATATTAGCAGGTTTAACAGATGGAATGGAAGTGAACAGATACCGTAATAATATAATAATGCGTGTCAGCTGTACGCCGTAACGGCGCTTCGCTGCCGCGCGACCACCACCAGTCGCACGCGGGCTGAGTATACCGCGAGGATGCCCACCCCTACGCAGATTCGAACCGGTGACCTTATGGTTGCAAAGCAAACGTGCAGACCACTCGGCCACCGGCTGACGAACAGATACCGTAAGGGATAAGGATAAAAGGTTCACAAAATAATATCCCTTGATGTAGACGAAGAAAGGCAAATAGGCGCGAAACGGAGAAAGGTTCATCTAAATGAAATCTATTGCTGGAAGGTGTTTGTAGTGACTATATGGTCATCAGGATGAGCCTACACGCACCGAGTTCAGCTGATGCAGAAGGATTCATCATCACCTGCGAGTTACGTTGAGAAAGCGGATTTTCAGGTGCTGCATCGTTGCAGCGGTGGACAAGAGCTTTAATTATCGAGGTGGCCGAATTCGGAGCCTGTCTCATCCAGGAAAACGGCATGCATAATCCAAACCGAATCTCAGTCACTTTCTTCATGAAGTTTCACCATGTAATCCGCTGGCCACTCTGAGCAAGGGTTCGCCAGCTGACCGCTGTAAGGCTTCATCTAATTAGACAATCCACTGAGGCGGCGTCAGCAAGGCAGTCGCCAAAAATCGACAAGAGAACATGTGTTATTTACGCAGTGTTGCTTCCCAAGCGTTAGCAAGCAGACAATAAAATCGCGTGACCACTGCAGCGCGATGTAGTAATGCCTGTGTGACCGCATAACTGCAACAGTTATACCTGATGTCGCCAAAAGACTATGAGAGTTTGAGAAGACACAAAGACCTTGCTGGTGCAAGTATTGAGCTCCGGTGATTAGAGTACGTGAGATTACAGAGCAATGTAGATAAGTGACAAGCGTTGCCACTTCCAGTGGATTTTCAATGTGATCGTGAGAATTGCGGCTTGCCGGTGGGATGCGGTAGCAGTACTTGGAGCTCAAATGGAGTGTGACGCACATGTGGAAGCGTGCTGTGCTCTGAGTCATATTATTCAATAGCACTTGTATTGCAGACAGGATTAGCCACGAAACGGTTGCCCAACGGCTGCGTATTTTTAGCGTATCAGCCGATCACGTGGTAGAGCCTGCACCGAAGAAAATGTAGGCGAGAGAGCCATTTGTGACGAATTCAGTCAACAGATTGAAGAGAGAAAACCACTTGAGAACAAAAACTACTTTAAAGGTTGCGGAAAAATCAGGGGAAGCCTCGTGTAGACCCTCCTCCTTCTGATAAATTGTGGGTATCTGGATGGCATGTTCACGCTAACCAGTGAAATCAAGGTAATCAGTTGGTGGACTGAAGCAACTTAGCATTGACAAACGGAAACATTACTGGATTTTAAATTTGTGATAGTAATATGCTCAAATATTGACAAGCAAAACGAAACATTAGATTCGTTTCAGCATCTATCTGTAGCAACAGTAGAGTAGAATGCGTGACTAGATGTAGCGGATCACCGAATGGCGGCTGCTCCACACCTTTGCACAACGCCGGATCTCCTTTATCAGGACCATGGAGAGCAATGAAGCTATGGAGCCCAATTCACGCAACGGATGAATTGAAGGTAACTGTGGATGAAATACCAATCACACTCACCAAAGAATACTACTAGAGGACACCCATCCATAGAGTGATCTGAAATCGTGACCGCGAAGAGGTACCAGGTGGACGCTTCCACAGAGGGACCATGGGTGATTTGCGCTAACACAAAGTTCCACACACCGTGTCTAGTGTAGAGTGGTTAAGATATGGACGAATGCACCATGGATTTCTCGTAACCACCAACCGGTGCTATCTCCGTACGCATAGCATCAATGAGTATCTGAATCAGTGCGGTAGCACATTGATGTTGTGGCAAAATTTAGAGATTGTAAGTACATGCGCACCACATATGTGACCATTTGATACGCGATCGGGGGAACATTAGTTCAGTTCAGTTAAAGAGCTGTGATTCAAGAATCCAAGTGCTGAGAATCCGGCTGCTACAAGCCGTGACGCCCGGATTAAAATAAACAACATCGGTGAAGAAAATGAGATAGAGATGGAATGCAAGGAAGAAGGAGGTTCGGAGAAAAATTTGGGTTCAATTAATCTGAGTGGCATATGGACATCGGAGTGTAAGAAGCCCAATGACGGGCACCAAAGAATCCGCAAAATGTGTCGTTTCGGATTCATTCATTCATTCATATACACGTTAGCTAGAGGTGAGAAACAGCTCAGCTACTGTGTTGTAATACATAATAGAAAAAGGGGAATGCAAGAGATGCAAGCCAGTTGAGCTACCGGTAATGGATGGGCATCGTTCCGGTAAGCTACCTGCCGCCAAATATCCAGCAAAAAAATACCATGCAAAATAATATAAGGCTAAATAGTGAGATCGTGGTTGGAGGGAAAGGCGAAGAATGGGGTGGGACAAAGAAACGCACAGCAGGAAGGTCATTGAGGTCGGCTCATGGCCATTTCAGCAAGTGTTTCCAGGCAAACCGGTTCATGGTCTCTCGCACCCCAACCAGGGAGCCGAGACGCTCCAACTGAGGCCAGCACAGAAGTGAGGGCCTTCATTCCTCTCGACTAAGTCGTTGCTTGGCCATCTCTCCTCTTCTTCCATCCACACCCCCGGCGCTCAAACAATGCACGTCGCGGAAGTCGATAGGCTGGCATGCGTAACACGTGGCCTAACCATCGGAGCCTGGTGCGCGAAATAACAGTGTTGAGCGGTTCATTTTCTTTTCCTGTGCCGTAAACAAGGCGTCAAACACTCTCGCTACCTACTCGGTGTTCCCAACAGATGTGAGCTAAATTGCGAAGGCAGCAATGGTCGAACGTAACTAGCCTCTTTATATCCGAGGATCTAAGGGGCTAGGTTTCACAACCGTACAGTAGGATCGAACGTACCGTTGCATTATACACTCTACCCTTCAGGGCAAGAGTGATGTCGCGCCGGCGCCGTGTAGGAAAGGTTAGCAAAAGTGCTTTGAGATTTTGCTATACGGTTCGTGATCTCATCTTCAATCCCACGGGCGCTGATACAACTTCCCAGGTAGTTGGATTGTTGAACCAAGTCTCGCGGTCAATTTCGCTTCGTGGCAGCAGGGAAACAGGTGTACCAGTAGTTCGCAAGGTGGTGGCGTGATATTCCCTTGTAGAATAACGGAACCTATGCATAGGCCTATCTATGACAGGTAGAATGTGCAAACCGCCGCTACCAGTAAGTCAGTCATCTGCGAGGGCGGTGACGGAGATACGGGGTGTAGAACAAGTAAGCGCCTTGCGGCATAATGAAGCTTACCGGTTCGTTCACACGCCAGGGGCATGCGGCCAGGCAATTGAGGGCATCCAGTACGGAAGGAATACGCTTCGGATCAAAGTCTAAGTCGTCATTGAGTACCGGGTTCGAAACGGAAAATTCATTCGGTTGACGCATTAACCGAGTCGCGTAATCTGTGGACACGATAAAGAAAGCAAGTGACAAGGGTTAAACGTAGGTCAGTTTTTCGACAGAAAAACGTATGCATAGACAAAGAATTTGTTGCTCACAGTACTCTCCAATATAAGAAATGTGTGGCAAAGCTTCGGAGGTCAGCTGAGAGGGAGACTCACTTCGAGAAATCAGGTAGCCAGCATCCGTCAAATTGGTCCATGGGATGGGAGGGCAAAGCATGGGTACTTCGGCTGGAGAGAAGCTTAATGGTGGGTAGTCAGCGTCCCGATACCAGCCGGCAAGTGTTGGGTGTAGCTACAACGATAGCAAATAAGAAAGACAATAGGAGGCTCAAAAATGAGAAGGATAAGGGATCATACCGGATGAAATGGCCAACGGGATGGCTCAAATGCCGAGTTATGGCGGATCCAGTTGGAAGGGACAACAAGAACGAAGTCTAAGGAGTGAGAAACGCAAAGTTGGAAAGAATGAGCACAAGCTAAGTAAGTCGCGAAACAGATTCCTAATTCGGCTGACCATGCACCATCTTGTCCCATTGCAAATAGTGACTCCATCGCAATGAGAGTGGACCATAGCGTGGTGCGATTGTTTGCGTACCCCCGCGACCCATTGTGACTATGCTGGGTGGCACTTTCCAAGTGCCTTAAAAACCACACATACCAGACAGGTCAATGATTAGGGGTCGGACTAACCCAGTCTCACAAACCAATCGAATACTCTAGACAGGTTAGGAAGAGGTCGATGGCACACTGCTATTAAAACGTAGCCAGGGAGATAACAGATCCACAGTTCGGTTGGCGTAGAGCCCGAGCACCAAGCAGTCTCTGACAGCGGGAGGGTAGCTTCTGGTGCTCATTGGTTTGCTTCCAAATGCCTCAAGCCAGGTAGCCCCTGGTCAAGTTAGTGCAAACCCGCCAACTACCACCTGCGGCTGGTCGTACTCACAGGTGCGTAACATAATATGATCGTAAAACATATGTGCACAGTTCTAAATCTTCAGACTGTGTGTGACATGCCTCAAGCAGATCCTGCGGGTCTGCAATCACACTCCCGAGCTGGACTTGCTCGCCACCGCAAGTGGATCAGGCTATTGAGCCAAAGCCTCCGGGTAGGATCCCTCAAGCGAACCCCCAAAAATCTCCAACTGCCTTGCGGGGCAGACTGTTGAGTCAAAGCCTAGTGGTAGGGCACATCGGAAAAAAATCGCTCTCTCGGCACAGGCAGCCGGAGAGTATTATCTGCCCTCTCGAACATGTGGACAACACTTCCTCTACTTCTTCTCATTTTTCTCCCCTCTCAACTCCCTTCTTCCCCGCCTATTGAGCAAGAAGCTGCCGCTGACCCCACTGCTGCTGCTATCGATACTCGTAACTAGTCCATTAAACCACAAGTCTCATTTCACATTGGTTCTTTTAACGTCCGCAACCTGGGTCAGATCGGTCAACAGACATCAATGACACTCACTCTACATTCTCTTGGTACGCATATGTTCTGTCTCCGAAACACGCATATAAGACAACAGCGTTGTAATGAATCCTCGACTCCGTGGTGCTGAATCTGACGAAGGGCACTACATTCCTCGCTTCTCTGGCGATACCGAGTTAATGGCCCAAGATATTTACGGTGTTAGTATTCCCTCAACAGACATGCAGAAGGCAATCAGCTCGGCTGGATACAAGTGAACAGCCGAATGTGCGCGGTTCAAGTTAGAATCTCTATTGAAGTAAATACGTAGCATCTGAAGACAAGGTGGCTTCACACCGTCTCAGTTTATGCCCCCAATGAACGCAGTTCAGAGGGTAACAAAAATCGTTTTTATCGACAGCTCTGTTCACTACTTCACATGTCGAAAAATACTGATATCGTGACCGTTGCTGGTGACATGAATGCCCAAGTGGGCTATCTTAAAGACAATGAATAGAACCTAGGCGCCCGCATCGGAGTCGATGCATGCCGAACAGGCAATGGTGATCAATTACTGAAACCGCGCATTGACTACAACCTTCACATAGCAGTATTGCTTTTTAGCACAAATGATCATACAGCGCCCGCAGAATTCCCGAATGATCTGGACCCGTAATGACCATATTGCCATCAGACACAGGTCAATTTAAAACACATGCACGGATGCGGATCATGCTCTAATGCGCGCACGCTTGGCGCTCACTCTTCCCCACTCGAAGGAAGCGCCTATCTTCTAACCTTACCTGTTACCTAAACTCGCGGTGTGCCGTTCAGCAATATCATAACGGACTGGTCCACCAATTGTCAGTGATGAATGAGGTTGGTGAGCCGAATGTTGAATAGGATCGTCTCAACTGCGCCATCAAGAATACCTTTGACGCATGCTGTACACACAAAAACAGGCCTCACAACTATGAATGTAACTCTGAGGCATCGATCAGTTTGCTGGAAGCACGTAAACAGGTTTCGATGAGCACTGAGTTTCAGCGTCTTCTTAACTCTCCGAAACGACGTCTGATAAGCTTTCGAGTTGATCGGGAACGTTGGTGTATGGTAAAAGCCCGTTACATGGGAACAGCCGAGTGCTATTCCAACTTATCCAGAACACGGGTCCGAGAAACCATCAAGTAGCGAGACAATACCTGAGAAAATGGGCACTTGATCCATTCTAAACGCCGTTGACTGGTCCGATAGGTAGAAAAACATGAGCAGCAGTTCGGCGGGCCTACTGCGCCACTGCCATTTGACGAATCACCTGAGCCTTCATGGGAAGTTGATGTCACATCTCCCACTTGGGAAGAGATTCGATAAAAGCTTTCTGTGTTGAAACGAATGTGAGCTGCCAGACCCGACGAACATTCTCCATCTTTGCTGAAAGAGGGTGGTGACTCTTTGTTGATTGGACTCACTGCTCGATTTAACACGCTTTGAGACACTGAAGAGTTGTCTTGAGACTGGTGACTGTCAACCGTTGTGCCAATCTTCAAGAAGAGTCAGCATACTTTGTGCAAAAATCATGGAGACATCCCAGCCCATGACTTTTTCTTCAAATATAAACATCCTGCACGGGTCGTGGTGGGAACCCAAGTAAAGTGGATAACTACCGGCCGATCTGCCTGACGGCAGTTTTGGCAAAGACGCTCGAGAAGATCGTGAAGAAGAGCCTTCTGCTACTTCTCGAGTCGAAAAACCTGTTAACCTCCGCACAGCATGGTTTTCTGAAAGGTCGTTCGTGCATCACCAATCTACTGTTGACGAGGCACGAATGGTTACAAGCGCTGAACAAAGGCCAATCGGTTGACGTCATTTACATTGACTTCAGTAAGACTTTTGACAAGGTTAACCATGCAGTGCTCCTTGACAGACTGAGGATGTGCAGTGTTGGTGGTTCGCTGCACAAATGGATCAGCAATTTCCTTATTGATCGAAAGTGGAGAGTCCAGGTGGACGACCTTCTAACTGAGTGGTATCCATCGAGCAGTGGCGTGCCCCAAGGCACTGTAGTGGGACCGATATTGTTTCTAATCCATATAAACGATGTGCCTCAGCTACTACAATCACATTGTGCTTTGTTCGCAGATGACTTGAAAGTGTGGAGAGTAATCCGCACACTCAGTGATTGCGATTTACTTCAACAGGATCTCGACCGCCTCTCGACATGGTCTGCAGAGGTTAACCTTCCGATCAACCCTGCCAAGTCGCAATTAATGAGGTTGGGTAAGTGTGATCACGGCCGAACGTACACAGTGGCTGGTCAACCGCTGCATCCCGCTCCTTTCGTACGCGACCTCGGTGTACTCTCACGCTGCGACCTAAAGTCCATTGACAACACGAATAGGCTGTACCAAAACAGTCTTCGTATGCTTTGGGCTCTCAGGCGCAGCTTTAGCACTTGGTCCGAAGAGATTGCTTCTCGCCTCTTCGTCTCGATAATACGACCAATGCTGGAGTACGGCACTCCCGCATACTGTCCCATCACCCGGGGCGAAGTAGAAAAGCTTGGGCGGGTGCAGCATGTAGCCACCAGGCTGATTCCCAAATTACGAGGTATGCCATATGAAGACCGATGTAAGAAACTAGGGTTATACACCCTATCTTATCGTCGGCTGAGAGTTGACCTCATCATGACGTACCGGATATTACATCTGGGTGATTAAGCCATGCTGAGACAACTACTTCATCTGCGCACACCAAGCTGCACGCGAGGACACCGGTATAAACTTATCGTCCCGGATTTGAAGCGGGTCGCCCATCAACTCTGTTTCGAACGCAGAGTGGTGAATGTCTGGAACGACCTGCCTCAGCATATAGTAGAAGCCAACACAGTGTCTCAATTCAAGATGCTACTAGACCAACAATTTGCAGAGGCAAAGTACAGAGAGTGAAACGATAAATAAAGAGTTCGTGTCCGAAAACGACGAACGATGCAGCTACACAGAGCAAACTCTACTCGCTGCTTCGCACCAGTTCTCAGTTCTCAAGGGTCGCCTTATCTGTTGCATACAGCAGGGGGGATAAGCGAAAACATGTCACTGTTGGCGCCTCCTTTCTTTTCCACCCGTTTCTCTTACTCCCATCCCGACCCCCATTACTGACCTTCATTCTATAATTCCCAGCAACCGAAGTGCCACTGGAGTAAAACCATCAGAACTCACCTTCTCGCGACAAGCACCGGACGCCTAACGGCAAAAGTCCCTTATAAGACAATGCTGCCCCGTTTCCATGGCGACGTGCAAGGTTCGCATTCTAAGACAAATAGGCCAACAGACTGCACTCGCATGCACCTACAGACATACTGGGTATTGATAGTATTGTGTTTTCGAAAAAAGGATCAATGACCCTAATGGCGTTATTGAATTAACTGCACCCGGGTTATCCTCTCGTTATTGGTCGCACAAATCCGGAGACACCAATGCAGCACTCACGGGTCAAGCTGGTGTAGGTATTCTAAATTCCAAGGCTGAGCCATTGTTGGTTGATTGGATTCCGGTGAACAGCCGTTTGTGTGCAGCCCGTTTGACGACATCAGCTAAGGTTGATTCACAAAGTAGTAAAAAGCGCTGTTTGTTTGTGATTTCCGCTTATACTCCCTCCGACTGCAGTTCAAATTCTGTCAAGGACACATTCTACCACTACGTAGTGCCACTAGTTCATATATTATAGTACTTGCTGGGGATATGAATGCGCAAGTAGGACGTCTGAGCTCTTCAGAAGCTCAGCTGGGTGGTAATTATGGGCTTAACTTCGAGCGGATTGATAACAGCGAGCGTCTGCTGCAATTGTACGCGGGGCACCAGTTGTTTCTTAGTAGCACTGCTTTTAGACACAGT